CTTTGGGGTCTGAGGTATGGCCATCTGGAGGGACTGTGGCCACCAACCATGTGAGGAGAGATAGATGAGTGCACTTTAGGAAGATGTGATGTTGGACACACTAGATGGAGAGTGTCCCTTAGATGTTCTATGGGGAAATGCTCAGTGGGAAACAATGGCTACTTTGGGTTCAGTTTCTTCCACTAGCTGGAGAGGTGGTCAAGTATGTGCATAAATGGGGCCAGAGAGAATGGCTGGCCTAGATTCCTTTAGCATACAAAGGGGCATATCCTGAGAAGGTTCCTAGCCCTGTATCCTCTGGACAATGCTGCTGTTTTCCCATGAGGCGGATATCTAGCTATCCATACAGCAGTCACCTTTACTGCCACTTGGTGCTGTACTCAGAAACATTGCTTATCCAATCCAAATCCACAGGGTAAAGCTCCCTCATGCCCCCAGTGCACTGGCTTATGGGGCTTGCCCTCTCAGTAAAAGACTCTTCATCACCATTTCACAGCCAAGGGAGTCTGGATCCCCAAGGTGAGATGATTTATCCACAATGGAGAGTCACAGTTAGCACCAGGGACTCTGTGATCTAAGTCAAAGAGAATTAAAAACAGAGGCTAGGGATCTGAAGCTCACTGAGCCCCCGGGCAGTGGCAGGCAGGAGCAATGAAAAAACGTGGGGGCTCCACTTCAGAAAACAAGCAAGTGCTTGGAGGACCACACTTACCTACCTTTAACTCTTCCCTGCTGCAGAGTGAGAAGCTGAGAAAGACTGCACCTGAGGCATTCATTTAAGCTAAGGAATAGACATCAATGGGCAGGAGCTTCAAATGAGGAGGAGCAAGTAGAGAAGCTCCAGCACCACCCTGTACTGCAGCATCCCATGAAATGGCTAGAGAAGCATTAGGAAGCAACCTAGTACTGTGCTGAGAAAAACAAACAAACAAACAAACAAAAAAACAGAGCTTGGTGTGGGCTGAGAGAGCTGTCTGAAACTTAGGGTAGTGCTAATTTTTACTTCTTTAAAAATATATAGGCTGTGCAGGAGAGATGGCTCAGTTGGTAAAGTCCTTACCTTGCAAACATGGGGACCTGAGCCCAGCCTTAGAACACACATAAAAAACACAGGCATCCTACAAGTACTTAAAATGCCAGCACCGGGGAGATGGAGACAGGCAGATTCTTGGAGCTTACATACCAACCATCCTGCATAGAGATGCATGCAGACAAGGAGAGGAAAGCTTTACATGCTCCGGGCAATAGCTTTAAATATGGACCCAGGAAGCATTTTTTTTTTTTCCCCCATCTGTACAGGGTATAGTCTGTAATCTGATGCCAGAGCCCACTTATTCAGAAACCCTGGCCATGTCCCAACACCTATGCAAACACATAATTCTCTACACTTAATGCCATGCAAAGAAGAAACTCAAAGACAGAAGGGGAGGGTTTGTGGTCAAACTGCAGACATTGTGTGTAGCTGGGGTGAAAATGGGTGGGGAACTGAAGTGTGGCATTCCATGCTATGAGCCAGAGAAAGCACCCCATCTGGGTGAAGGAATGGCCACAAGCAAGGAGGCAATGAGAAGATAGCGACACTACCATCAACCTACATGAAGGCCTCCCTGCACTCTATGAGGACAACTGCACATCCTCAGAGAGGAAGGGCTAGAGACAGAACAGAAGCACAGCTCTACAATATCCATAACCTCTGCTCCGAGCAGACACCATTTGACCATTAAAATCTGAGTAACCTTTGCTCTATGTCAGGCAGAGATAACCAGATTCTTAGCCTTGCAATTTTGCCCCAATGCAATCAGTCATCTACTTCGGACCCCAAATAACCCAATGTGCACTTTGATAAAAAAGAAACTGTTAGCAGACATGGGGGAGGGGGGGCACGGGGACAGAAACACATATTTTTGTTACTTAACAGCCACGGTTCACCTATCCAGAGTGTGGGTGGCTGATGAATACATATCACCCCCAGGCAAGTACACTGCAACCTGGACAAGAGAAAGCAAGCTGTGAGGACAGGCAGGGCTCACGGTCACTGTGTCACTGAATCCCACTGCCAGGTTTGGTGGCCCTCTTCTACCAAGCCTGCTTCAGGCTGCAGCATATTGGATGAGCATAAAGAGGAGTCTGCTAAACAGATAAAGTCAAGTCATTTCGTTAACAAGAACTCAGATTAGATTACTCTGTGATTACATGGCTCTGCGGTGTGATAAATTGGTTAATGACAGGATTCCCAGTGTAGTGGCTTAATGGGAATTCGATAATTACAGGTGCCCAGGATTGTATGTTAGCCTAGGAGATGCTTGCTACATGGCTCTGTTCTAATAACTACAAAGCTACCTGGGACAGTTGCAACGTCCTTGACATGGAGGATGTGTTTCAGTGTTAGCTGAGCTAAATGTCACATCTTACAGACTCCTGAAGGCTCTTGTTGCCTAAATGTCCAGGCTGAGAATTCTCTAACCCTTCTCTTCATCAGCACTGAGCCCAACTGTAAAATCTGCAGTCGACATTTAATAGTAAGAACAAAGTCATATTTGAATTGTTCACTAAGAGGCCTTTCATAGACTTGTGTGTTAGAGAATATGTTCTTTCTAGAATTTGGTTAAGACAGCAATTACCCCTCCTCAAACTGACATAAATAGAAGCTCAGTGACAAGGAGAGAATTAACCCAGGCCTGCTCCCCAGGCTCCTGCACCAAGAGAGGATCTCCTACTTTCTCAGGTCCCACAGCCCAGACAAGCTGGAACGAAAGTCACGGGTTCAGAACAACCTAAGGTTTGCCCTTGGTACAGCTGCCCCAAGGAAGGGCCTTGTCTCCACTGACACACATTCTTGAGAAGCAACACTTGACATCATGGGCTTTAGTTGTACTTCCTGGAACTAGGAGGATTTCAACAGACTCGTGAAAGTTGTCGTCTGACTTTAGCACACTGTGTGTGTATGGACAGACATCGGGATGGACAGACAGACAGACACACACACACACACACACACACACACACACACGGGGGGGGGATCTTAAAAATAAATGGAAAATAAGGCTTCTTGTGGAAGAAAGAGGAAAATAGCGGTAAATTTGACATTAAAAAAAAAAAAAAAACCTCAGTGATATTATAGCCTTTGACAATAAGAAAAATGGTGTGTGGTATTTAAAAATCATAAAGTGGTACATTTGATAGGTCTTGAACTTATTTTTTAAACTCCAGATAATACGGCTTTGCTGGTTTGTGTTACTGAAATGTCCGAATTTGGCTGGGATTAATGGTTCCCTAAATGGATAGGATTCCGTGTTTAGAGATGGTACATGGGCCCCCTAGCTAGACAGAGAGTGCTATGCACAGTCACTGAAATCTACTGACATTTAGTCTGTCATCTGCACAGGAGAACCGGGTAGAAGATTCCACAGCCCAAGTCCAAGCCACGTGATCCAAAGAGCAGGGGGAGGGAAGAAAAGCTCCCCAGTCCCACATCATCAAGCAACTCATGTGGTCCAGGGAATCCATTCACAGTGGATTCTAGCTGACCATCACTGCTTACCAAAGACTTAAGAAACAACTCTAGGACACTGATAGCATTCCTCACAGAATCATGTCAAGGATCAGAGTATATTCCGAAACACATCTTCAGTCTTATCTTTCTAACTCAAACATCCTTGCCCACTCCCGTTCCCACAGTGTAATTATAATCTTGTATTGTTTTAACCAAACACGATCTGTGCTGCTTCCAGGAAACCCCTACTTGATAAGAACAAGAACCTTTCAGTAGTGCTGAAGTGATAAACACGAGAGTCTTCCCCAGGGTCTCCTCCTAGCTGGGTTCCTTAACACTGTTTGAGACTAGTACAATTTTGCAAGAAGGCAGACCAAAGTCATTAGATTCATGGTGCTTTCAGACCATAGGCTTCTCTGACCAGTAGTGTCTACATAGGATGACACAGTTTGATGCACTATATGTGTCATGGGTGTGTGTGTGTCTAGACTTCTGATAGACTTTGATTTAAATTCCTTGTGTAAAGTGTGTGCACATGTTTTTATGCGCATGTGCATGCATGTGGAAGAGTCCTACATCGTCGTCTATTGCTCTCTGTTCTATTTAAATTTCATTATTATTCAAAATTTGTGAATTCTGAATAATGTGTTTTTATCATATACACCCTGCACCCTATCTCCTCAGAGGTCCACTTACCAAACACAACTTTGTGTCCTTTCTTTCCTCTACCCATCAAGAGCAATTTGTGCTACCCATGTACTCTTGGATGTATGGCCTTCTTCCCAAGGCTCAGAAGTCACCCAGGAAGAGGGGATAGAGCCAGAGGCAGTAGATGAATACAAGGACACTGTGCCCTCAGTGCACAATAGGGCAGCTACACATATGAACTCACAGCCATTGAAACAAGAGAAGATGGGCAGGAAGTCCTTCCCCTAGCTGAGGAGCTATAGGCCAATGATAGTTTCTGGGAGAGGGTAATCAGTCTTTAAGAATACCTCTGATGGACCTCCATCTTACATTTGGAGGCAGAATTTCTCTCCAAGTATGGAGCTCATTGATTGCTAGACTGGCTGGCCAATGAGCTCAAGGATCTGCCTGAACTCTGCCCCCAGCACTAGAATTATAGACATACACTTCCACACCTCACTCTTAAGTGTGAGTTTAGGGATGAACTCACATCTTCATGCTTGCACGGCAAGCTCTTTATTTACCAAGCCATCTCCCTGGCCCCATGATACACTGTGAAACAACTGCATGCTGCAGAACTTACATGGCTTGGCTGTGAAAGTCAGTTCTTTTCCAAAGAAAATGAGTGAATCTGGAATATATCACAGTGCTCAATAGTATGCATGTGTATATATACACACACACACATGATAAAGTCAACAGTTTATTATTAAATAGTGCAGTCATGTTATAAATAGATTCTCGATGAACATAACCCTGATGGGGGGGGGTCACCTGATCTCTAGGGTCACACACTAAACTCTGTGTTCTATCTTTCTAGTGTGGAGCTGGATTTTAAGCAACAGGAAGACAAACTCCAGCCTGTGCTGAGGAAACTGCACCCTGTCGAGGAAACTCAGGTCATCCCTTCGCCTTACACTCAGGAGACTTACTCCTCCACGCCCAAGCAAAAATCCAAAACTGAGTCCAAAAAGCACGGAAGGTGGAAACTCTGGTTTCTTTAAGACTTGTGGGCTTGGGAGTACCCAGGCCGTCTTTCAAACCCACTGGAATTTAAGTCAGTCCTTTTCCAAAATGGATAGGATCAAGGGAACTGCGGTGCCAATGTGTGCTCCCTGCTTCTCGCCCTGCGTACCAAAAAGGCCTTCACACCAACAGATAATTAGCGGCAAGGGGGTGACTGTCACCCCTTGCCAGCTGTCCTTTACAGTTCACTGGTGTGGGGTGTAATGTCTGAAATAAAACTTACTTAATCAAAGATAAGGAAAAACTCTAAGCTCCGACAGTTCTCCATCTATGAACGAGTATTGCGTTATGGACGTTCCACGCAGCAAGCTGTCCTCTAGACAGTGGAAATTTTCATTATTTTTGGCCTTTTATGATGATTACTTTTTTTAAACAAGAAGAGAAAGCAAGCCTTCTGTTGGCAAAGGACTTCATTTTTACCTTTTGTTTTGCAAATAAGCAGGGGCGAGTGCAGTTTTCAGCACATTAAATTTCGGAGAAAGCACAATTTTTTTCAAGTGGTCGGAGACCATGAATAATCTCGAAAATGTGACTCTATGTATATCTGCCTTCGTGTGCTGTAGCGCTAAGCCAAGTGACCACATCTCAGTGTCACATTGACACCACAGATTTAGCACCCTCTTCATCTCCAGATGGACGACATGTTTACTGCTCATTTTCCAAATGGCCAGCAGCCAGGAACCACCCCTACCCCCACCCCAAGTCAGGATATGCCTTCAATCATTGCAAGCTGACAGGGTCAGAGCTAATGGACACTAAGCTTTCTTAGATCTTGTTTTTAATCTTTGGGTGCCCAAAGGCCAAATGATGAATCTGGCAAGAATTTGAAAAGAGGCAAAGATACACAATGGGTAATAGAGTTACCTGTAAATCACCGGTGCCTGGGCTGCAATAGAAAGTGTTTCTGTGGCTCGATCCCCAGAGACACTCTTCAATCCCTGCGTGCAGCCAGGTGTTTTCTACAGTTCTTTATGCTCTGTCACTGCAGTGCAAGATCTGACCATCTCAGAGAGAGAAACAGCGTGTTTCCCTTAGCTGCTACCAATGGCCAAAACCTACCATCGCCTACATCTAACCTATCAGTAAATTGTATTAATAGGGAAAGCTGTGAATCAAATGTTTTTAGGTGTTTTTTAAATCCGCCATCATACACAGGAGTTCTCTCTTGATTACACATCACAACGTAAACCTCCGCTCCTTTATTTTCACATTTCTTTGCACCTTTACAAGTATCTTTTTTATAGAAAACAAAATCGAGTTAATGATGTCTATCTGTGTTCTGCTTCTCATGTAGGAAGGGGGGGGGTCTTCTTTTGACTTTTATTTATTTTTTCCTTTTTGTATAACTTAAAATTTTCAATAGCTGTGAACATACAAGAAAAACCTAGTCTTCAGTGTCTGTCCAGCACATTCAGCTGGAAATGCATGCTGATGGCAGCCTTGTGGCTCTGATGACAAACCCCTAGCAGCTCAGTTTTGGAGAGGGTCAAGGCCTGCTTTGGATGGGTAGGAGCTAAGGTTCACCATGCTTTTCCTCTGGACTCAACAGTTCCATCCAGTTCTAAACATTTGAGTTATACAAGGATCTAGAGATCAGCGATCAGATCTGGTCTTTAAAAGAAGCTAAAAAAAAAAATATTTTGTGTGACTACTCTTTGGGGGTTACTCAAACACACTACAGAGGTATGCTTAATTAAAAAATGCAGTCATAGACACACATACATGCACACACACACGCTTATATACACACCTCACATGAGGGCACACATGCACACACAGGCATGTACACAAACACATGCCTTTAAGGAAATACTCTATAAGAACTCAAATATGCACACACACACACACACACACGTGAACACATAGGTATACACACAAACACATGCCTTTAAATGCATACTCTATAAGAATTCAAATCATCAAAGAGCAGTAAACAGACGTATTGGAGAAGAGCCCTGACCAAGCTGATTCTATACCTTGAAGGAAGTGCAATTGTTTCATGTATACTAAACCTTTAAACATGTGTTTCATGTTTTTATACTGTTTTTAACTGATGTTATAAAAATGTTGGCAAACAGTTTTCTCCTCATATGTTTGAAGAATTCCATGTTCTCAGCAAATGGAAGGGTTCAGCAACTGTCTGTCCAGTGCTGCACATCTGTCTAAATGCAAATACATGAGACTACCTGTGATGTCACTGTTTCAAGTCAAGGTCCCCAAATTAAAAAAAATAAATAAACATTTTAGAGCCAGAAATGAAACTCTGAAGATAAACTAATATCTCCCTCAAAAGAAAAAGCATCTCCTCAAACAGGAAATAAAATTATTTTAAGCTCACTTCATAGCCAATCACAATTTGCCAATGACAGAGGATGACCCTTCTCCTGGAAAGATTGAAGTCAAAACTTTAATACAAAACCAAGTAAAAAGTTCAGTGTCCCCTCCTATGTAGATGTACACATGGCATTACGTATAGAGTAAATTATTATACTTGTCATTAAATATTTATTAATTTTTAAATAAAAAATCAAATGTAATGTTTGTGTGGCTATCAAACTTATTTCACAGCCTCTATACTGTGGGAAAACCCAAGAAAATAATAATGGTCAGGTATTTGGTCTAGAAGGTACGATGGGGTTTGGAAAGATGAAACTGTCATGTGCCCTGGGTACTCCCTACATCCACAACCCTAACCCAGAGGGGCCATGCTGGCATGTTTACCCAGCACTGTGGCATGGATTTAGCCACTAGGAAGACAAGGTAACATTATAAGGTATGAAGGGTACATACATGCTCATGGTATCATGTGCCTAACTTGGGTCTAATTTTTAAAGACCTTCCATGACTAGTAAACTCAACCAGTGCTGCCACCTTCCATGGCCTAGATTGAGATTGGGTGGCTTCTCAGTAGAGTAGTGGTTCTCAAGTTGTGTGTTGAGGCCCCTTTGGCAAACCTCTATCTTCAAAAATATTTACTTTGTGATTCATAACAGTAGCATAATTACAATAAGAAAGTAGCAACACAATAATTTTATAGTCAGGTCATCACAGTACTAGGAACTGAAATAAAGGATCACAGCATTAAGAAGGTTGAGAACCACTGCTCTAAAGCATCCATCTGTTGGTCCCTGGCCCAAGGAGAGTGAGTGGCTCTTTTTCCTATCTCCTCTGAGTGGGAAATAATCACTTCAGCATAGATGTACAGCCTTATGAGCTAAGTCCAGTCCAATGTCACCAGGTATCTAGAGGTGGCCTGCATCCCCTGTGAGAGGAGATGGTACATCTACAAATATAGGTCACTGTGAATGTGGATAGAGACCTCACTGTCCCCACATTTGTCTTGTGGAAATGAAGAAGATGAAGGCAAGTGCTGTGGGCAGAAGGAAGAGAGAGGCCCAATGCATCATCTCAGACAAATGGAAAGAGTATTCAGGCAAATTCTAGAATCTGTTCTTAGGCACCTGCTAGGGTCACCTTAGAGTACCTCTCAGATAAACACCAGGGTAGCCATTCTACAAGATCATCCAGAAAATCCATGTCCCTGTGCATCCCTCAATGTTGCTAGTCTATACTGCATAGCTGAGTGAGGCAGATAAGGTGCAAGGGTTTCATAGCAGTTGTCTTAAATCAGCTGAAAGAACCCCACAGACAGGCAAAATGAGGGAGGTGCCTAGCAACATCAATTTCCTTGTGGACCACACAGCACCAACATTCACTGAGAGAGAAGAGGTGCTCTCGATGACAGAGTTTATCTTGTTGCCTTTCATAGAAGTAGGCAAGGATTGAAATCAACCAATGGCCATGAACTACCATCATCACATCATCTGATAGCAGCCTGGCCAGTGTATAACTGTCCTCACACACTGGTGGGCTGATTTTATAGGATTGTTTTTTATCTGGTTCAGTTACCACCCATGGAGACAGTTCATGAGTGTGATGTTAGCTCAAGACCACAGCAACAGCTTCGGGTAAGCACATTTTTCATCTCTTTAAAAATGACTTTTCATACCTTTGGCCTCACTAATTTATTGTAAGACAACACCTATACAACACAGAGATCAAAATTACTGTCTGGCCTGTGAATTAACAAACTGATCAATCCACAATGGGTGACATGCATTAGGGCAGGTCACAGGTCATGTGAAAGCTACTCATTAGCTTTTAAATACCTTATGATTAAGGTACCGTCACAATTTGGTATGAGCATGCAACAAATTTACCCAGGCAATGGCACCATTTTTATTTCCTAGGCTATAAGTCCAGGGATAGTGAGCAACCTTGGTACGAAAAACAAGAAACTCTAGGACACATCAATATCAAAAAAAAAAAAAAAAAAAAAAAAAAAGAAAGAAAGAAAGAAAGAAAGAAAGAAAGAAAAATTACCCTGCCAACAGCAAATATAAATGAACTTACAAAGGCTACCAAGGACAGCTGGTGTGATGATTGTATTCAAAAGTCAAGCTCCCTCTGTTTGAAACGTCTATAATGCATTATATGAAGTAAGGACTTTTAAAAGCACTTTCATACTTTAACTCCAAGAAAATACAAATTTCAACACCAAAGCTTATGCAGAGAGATGTCATAGGTTGGTTACAAAATTACAAAATTGTTTTGAGTCACAGAGAAAGGAACTCATCCCTGGGGTAACAATTATAATGAACACCTTCCTTTCCAAATGTAGAAGCATCCCAAGTCCTTACAATGATCTGGGATGCTAGTGAACTCAGGCACCAAGGCTGCTACTGCCCCTATCAAACACTCTGTGGCCATCCCTGTCCTTATTGTAGCAAGTATCCAAATAATGTCCACTGCTGAGGTAGAGGTTCCCAAGGTCACAGTGAGTGAACAATCCAGAAAGACTTTTCCCCACCACGAAGCCCGCCTTTGTGAACTTCCCAGGGGACTCTTTCCTAAGAAGCTCTCACAGCTCAGCCTAAGAGAGTTGGTAATTTTCAGTCTTCTGGTGTGTGCCCAGGCCAAAGAAAACTCTTTAACCATTGTCCTCACTCGATTACATTTTTAAAGGACTCATTATCAGAAGGTAAATCCAGTCATTTCAAAGAAGCAAGCAGCTATTGCAGCAGGAAAAGGAACATCCCTGCAGGTTAATCATTGTCCTCTGGCCATGACTCATCCATGAAAGATACATGTGTGTAGCTCCAGGTCACACCAACGGCTGATCTGGCAGCCAGTGTACACAGTCCCTGCATGGAGTATCACACATCCTGGGTAGGAACACTGTAATGTTCCTCTCGACAGGCTTCCAGAAGAAAGAGAAAAATAAACTGTAAAGTCTGACCTAATGCAAAACTGAGTTATTCACTCAAGAGTCTCTTATGGTGACTTGTACCCCTGCCATCTGTTTCATGTGGATGTGGCTGCACATGAGTAAGGTCAAGGGCAGGTCCATACTTCATAGCCACTTCCTTAACACACGGGGTTTACCTTAAAGAACCTGTAAGTGGAGCAGAGATTAAAAAGACCCTTTAATTCAACAGTTAGGTTGCAGGATAGACTGTACTCAGCCGCCAAGCGGGGGCTTTGTTTTTAGTTAATTTACTGATTTATCTTAATTATGACATTTAGAATCAAGAAACATTTTCCTGTGTATGAAAAGCATTCCCATGGATACTTAAGATGCAATGAACTTAAAGAAATGCCACATGACGGAGTGTAAAGCAGAGCTTATATAAAAACACTGCAGATGTGAATAAAAGAGGCTGTACACGGTCCGAGCAGCTTGTCCACTTCTGTGTGAGCTCCCCCACTCCTAACTCAATATATAACCAGGCAGAGACTGGAGACCTAGTAAATCCTCACCCCGTAGAAAAAGCAGACCCATTCCCAGTACCAACTTAGACAGTGTCACAGAATAAGTCTTTTAATGAAATGTGTCTACTCAGAAGTTTTTTTTATAATAACTTCTTTTTTAAAAAAAAAATTCATTTTAAGCAATCACTTATAACTTTCCAGCTGATTCACAGTTATACAATTTCTCCTAAAGTTATGCAAAGCAAGTAACCTAAGAAGATGGAAATCTCTGGGGCACAATGGGATGGTACAGTTCACCTACATCAGAGCTGTAAACCGTTTTCTGCTCTGTTTTCACCCAAGAGGACTCACTGATAAAGCTTTTGTCCCCTTGCTAGGGATGCTTTGTAAAGATCCTCCACTAATCTAAATTCACAGAGCAACAGGGTACCATTAAGTTAATGCATGCATCCCCAGCTGGTGCAGGCAGGAATGCCAAGGTGACACACACTCACGTAAGATCTGTAATCCCACTATTCCACTGTCAGCAGAGAGGGAACTTTGGGGATGGCAGATGACTGATAGATACTTGTGAACAATTCAAATCTTAAATGGCCAACATCCTTCTTGATATATCTGGACACTGTCATCACTTATTAAATAATTACAGCTCATTCAGGTTTCTTTTTGTGATTTCTTCCATGGCAGCTTGGTTTCACAGAACAAATTTAAAAGGAGTCTTTGATTCTTTATTATCTGAGATGTTCAGAACTACGAGAAATTGGCTTAAGACCTCAATCCCCATTTGACTTCCAGAGAATTTTGTGAAGGTCAGTGAGATGGTAGATGGTCCTGCATGTGGCACTCGCTGACAATGCCTTGCACCCCTGATACATGCTCCCTGTGGTTGTGGCTACAGATGGGTAAGGACTAGGGGTGGTCCTTACTTCATACCCACCTTAAGGACAAACAAGAGTTCATCTTAAGGAATTGTTAAGTGGTTCTTGGAACACAAGAACTACTCCAAGCTTGGACATTAACCTATCATGAAACTCAGCATCAACCCAGCATCTGGATTCTACCTGTAGGAGACTGTGTAGGGATAGAAGAGGGCTGGACAGCTGCCTACATGACTAGAACAGAAACCAGAGGGAAGCTTTCATCAATCTCTGATATCTGTTGAAGTGGGCCACGCCATCAGCACTCCACTTTGGTCACACATCAGACACTAAGACAAGCTGGCACCAGGACCAGGAACCACAGGAACAATATTCTATCATGGTTTAGGCAGTGGTGTTGGGGTGGAGTAAGTCATAAACAGGAATTTTCCTGGAAATTAGTTAATGCCCAGCTCAAGTGATTCACAACAACTTGCTACGGTCATTAGGACTCAGCTAGGAAAACATTTCAATGACTTTTGGACCCCATATTCTGAGAGCTCCACTCCCTGCACTCTTCCCTTTACCAGGCTTTGTGTGCTCCTTACAATTCTCACATCCAACAGAACCTGTGTGACCTTTCACAAACCCCCTCTCTGCAGCCTTTCCCAGGTTTAACTGCTGGTCAGGGACTAAGAACCAAAAGACTGCAGCTCTAAGACAGAGTCCCTAGCCACAGGGATGTAGCTCTGTTAGTGTTCAACTAGCCAGAGGGAGAAAGGGCTATGTATCCCCAACTAATGGCAGGATCTTGTTACCTATACATAAACAGAACTTTGTTTCCTTGAACAGATATAGTACTGTCTCCCTAACCAGAGTAAAAACTGCCCCCTCCACACACAAATAGAATAATGTCTTTCTGTCTTAGACAGAGGCGAGGCTACTTTGTCAGAAACCTTATATCCACACTACCTGCCAAGAGGACCACATGCAGTTGCTGAAGCCTCAGCAGCATCTGAAAGCCTTCAAGCCAACCTACTCTAAGAAGGGCCACACTCCATCCATTCTACCTGGAGCCTCTTTCCCAGTTTCCATGTGAGTATATGCCAGAGCCTGAATACAGGGAGTCGCAGGCACATTGCATTCTACCCCCAAGCCTGTTCATGGGTTTAGTCTCCACTGACTGGTAAAAAAGATAGTTCCAGTTCCTGAGAAAGTCAAAATAGGAACACATGAAGAGTGCCATGTTGGAAAAGCCAACTTAAGTGACAGACAATTCACATGAATGCCTGTTATTTCTTTATTCATACCTGTGACAGCACAAACTTAAACTACATGGGCTTATTCAAGGAAAATCTGAACATGGCCAGGAAGTCAGGGAGAAGACATACAAAGTAGCCCCTTTTGAGTTACCTACATACTTCACCCTCATAATACCCAGTGTTGTGAAGGCAGTAAATAAGGACACAGAGGTCTCAGTTATTGTTTCTATTGTTGTGAAAAGATACCATGACCATGGCAATTTTTACAAAGGAAAACATCTAACTGAGGCGACAACTTGTGTTTACAGGTTCAGACCATTATCATCACGGTGGGGAGCATGGCAGCTTGCAGGCAATTGTGGTGCTTGATACACCTTGATCAGAAGGCAACAGGAAGTGGTCTCAGTGTCACACTGAGGGAAGCTTGAGGAATTCAGACCTCAAAACCCACCCTGACAGTGACACACTTCCTCCAACAAGCCCACACCTACTTCAACAAGGCCATACCTCTTAATAGTGGCAAAGCCTTTGGGGACTATTTTCTTTCAAAACACCTCACAGGGCATGGGCTAGGATGGCTGTGAACCTCCAGCTCCCCCTCATTCCTTCATTCCCTGGATATATGGAAGGGATCAGGTTCCACATCTATGAAGACAAATGTGCCTTTCCTGATTTTAGGTAAAAAGGCTACAAAAGCTTTGTTTCTCCAGTTAAGGAAGTCATTTTGTCTCCCCTCCTCTTGAGAGGCCATGCAGCAACATAGCTAAATAGCTAAATAAGGATGTGCACTTGATATAATAAAACAGTAAACAGAACACATATAGGGACATCATTCCTAAACAAACAAATTTTACCATTTTGGGGAACAGGGATGACAAATTCTGCATACCAGTTGCATGACACTGACTTATAATGACCATTGAAATTTGATTAAAAAAAAAAAAAAAAACATTCTTGAAATAAATCATCTTCCACAAGTAATGATTCATTGTATACATCTAATAGATAATAAATTGCTAAGGTGGATTACCTGAATTGCTTTTAAGGTATTTCATAAATGTTATCAAAAGTACTTTCAACATAGGAAATCCAAAGAAAGAAACTACCAGGAGAGTGAAGACATACAAGAAATAATGCATCTTTGACAAAAAGTAATAATAAAGAAAGCCCGTTGCAAGCATTTCGTTCTCTGATGTCTTGGTTAATGTCCTCTTCCCCTTTGACAGATACTTCTAGAATTATGGAAAATCAGAATAGACTTTTTCTCAACTGCATGCTGCCTTTTAAGAAAGTAAGTTCATGTCCCACTGGCAGCTAGGAGAGGAGAGCTGGGACAGGTGTTTAGGGAAATAGCCTTCTTAGGAAGACATGGCCTCACAAAGAAAGCATGTGTCTCTAGGCACTTACGATGAGTTCCGAATCTCGACCCATGGAAATGACTGTCCGGTTCACTGTCCTAAGAAGTTTCTCCATGATGATCTGGACATGCCTCTGAGTTGGCCCCTGGAGGGAAGAGACACCAATAATAACCAAGAGCACACACAGACCATCAGGGTCCCACAAGCCCAAGCGCTTGTCTCCAAACGCAGCTGCTCTGTATAGAGTCAATCAATTATAACCCTTAACGAGATGAAAAACGGTCTTTGTCAAAGGCAAATGTCTTCCTGAAGAAAACTGGAGGCCTTTTTATTAATTATAGCCCATTAATGATAATTTGTTATATAATCATAGTAAATTAATTTAAGCAAACCTTAAAACTAAAAGCAACTCCATTTAAACAATATAATGTTTATGATCCCTGGTGAGACCACCAATTAGTCTTCCAGAGATGCTTGGCCATCTGTAAACGGAAGGCAGGCAGATAACAGCACTGACTGCTCTGCGTGTCACATCCCGATAACTTAACTGCTCACAGAATAGAATGTTTTAGTACCAGTGCAGCAAATTATCTAAAATTCACAGTGCCATGGGGTTTTCCATTAGGGAGAATTTATTCCCTGGTTTAACATGAAGCAGGATTATGGATTCTCTTCCATGTACATGGCTTGCGTAGGCAGATATCTGGTCTCTGCATAGTCATAAGAGCTTCCTTGAGGTTGCCCTACAAGCTCTGTGTTCTTGCTTTTCTCTGAGAAATGCAATGTGCCTCACACAGGATCACGGATGCTGGTCCTGAGAAAGACATCCAAGCTCTTGGAAGCCCCATGCCCCTAATGAGTTGAATCCATCAGTTGACGTATCTGACCCTGGGAGCACAAGCCATTGGGAATGGGATACTCAGCTGTCATTGTCACCTCCACCAGAATAAGAAATGCCTAGGGCATTAGTAAGGAAAAGCATGGACTGTGGGTGTTTCCACAGAGGATTATCTGAGAGGGTGAGACCCACTCTGACTATAGGATTTACTGCCAAAAGGAAGGAATGAACAGAAGTGTGTGTGTGCGTGTGTGTGTGTGTGTGTGTGTGTGTGTGTGTGTGTGTGTGTGGTGACAAGGTGTTCAGGTAATTCAGGAAAGACTTCAGAACAGACTGGATCTACTTAAAGTCCTGACTAGAACTGGGGACAGAGACAGGCAAGGGTGCCCTAGGACACCAGAGCCCACTCCCGGTCTTGCTCATGGGGCTCAGTCTCCATTTACTGTTAATGTACAGAGGTGTTTCTATCCAGATTCTAGACACAGCTGGAGAATCAGTGATACCACCTAAGTGTACACATGTCCACAAAAGTACATGATATGCTGGTGATGGGGTGGGATGGGATAGTCACATACCTGCCTAATCTAGATTCAGATTTGAAAAATAAAAGCCAGTGTGAGTAAAAACAGGATTTAGAAATGCAATCAGGAGCTTCAAAGCTCAGAAAGCCCTGGCAGCTTTAAGTGTGAAGAGCAGAGCAGAGCTGTTGGAAGCACAGGTGGCTTGGTTCATGTATCACTTAATAAATTCGAGAACTGTAAAAAAAAGGGTGTGGGTAACCAGCCTCCACAGCCTTTAGCTGACCTGCAGGATAAGAACTTTGGCCCTGGAAAACATCTTGCCAAGAAAACACAGGAAAACGAAAAATTAATTTCAATTCAGATGGGGTAAATACTGCAATGTAAAAATCATGACACACACATAAATAAAAATAAATCAAGGGTAAAACTCTACAGAGAGAAAGGCTGAAAATGAAGGCCACTGCTTTTTCAACAAGGCAGTTCTGTTCGCAGCATGTTTCCAAGGTTTGGGCAAAGTGGCTGAGATGTCTATAGTCTGATCCCCATGACTCACCACATCCTTCCGGTAGAGCACCTCCAGGATGTTGCTGAGCAGCTGGCAGCATGCCTCCAGGTCCTCCTGCCTCTCCAGGTGGTACTTGAGCTGGTCTGTCATCATGGGGAGCAGGATCTCTCTGCAGTCTGCATAGAACACAAAGTTGTCAATCAGTAGGAAGCAACAAGGAATCCCTCAGGTCTGCAAGAATCCTGTGTGTCCTCTCAAGTATCTGATTCACAAGGTGCAGAATGGAAACAGACAACCACAGAGGCTAATGACTTGACCACCAGGAAGCCATTTCCAATGCTGTCAGTCATTCATAGATGGGTATCTGCATGTATTTGCAGGTCTGTTGTGTAAACATACAAGTCAAAACATGCATATCATATATAAACACACATCCCCCACAGTTGAACATACTCTGCAGTTGCACATATGATGGCTTATCTACTAGTGCCTCTTACTTTCAATCCATTGATTTGCAACAATAAAAGGGGTGCTTCTTCCAACAACAACTATTCCAGTCATTCCCTAGAACAAGCAAATGGGATCCCCTTTCTTAAGTGAAAGAGCTGAACTTGGGGATGGGACAGTGGAGTACAGCCTTTCGTTCCCAGACAAGCTCCCTGAAGTAGACTAAAGAGGCAGGAATGAGAAGACAGGAATCAGCGACAGAGAAATAAGCCTGTATACAGAAACTTGGGAGTTGAGGACCAGGTCAAAGAAGGTTTGCATTTTCATTTGTGGTTTATTTAAGAACATAGCCAGAATATTCAAAACACAAGCAGAAGAGCAACATGGGCTCAGGTTGATGGCAAAATGCAATTCCTAATTGTCTCTTCCAGTTTGGAAAATGAGCTGAATCCTGGCAGCACCCACTTCCAAAATGACCTGCCTGTTCACAGCCCCTTCTGACACTAGCCGAGCCATCATCGCCTCCTTTAAGATGCAAAGCAGGCAAGCAGCAGAGCCCTGCAACAGGAAATAAATGTAGCTCGTTTTCAGGATTGTACATTTTAGGATTTACAACATTAATGATACATAAGAGCATGTTTTGCATTAATGTGCCCGAGTTTCAAATGGAAGGAAAAAAGAAACCACACATAGCTAGGGAAGGGCTGCTCTATACATTCAGAAATACACTCTGTTCTCAAACACACACAGTGAACTTTCCCAAGGTCAATAGTTTAATGAGAGGCTGGGGAGGTGGGCACAGGGCAGGAGGAATCAGAAATAACCTAGGCCCTTGTGCCCCATGGTCTCCCTGTGGAACACATACAGGTAGCTCAATCAGTGCATTCTCAAATTCCACCTAGATCTTCTCCTTTAGGGAGAGACTAGGAGGAATTCCATGTACTGGAAGGAGTATGGCCTGGTGCATGCAGCCTCGGCAACACACCTCTGGACTATCAGTGAGGGTTTCTCTAGAGAGCTGTAACTGAGGATGAAGACTCTCTCTGACTACGGGTATTCCATGGGTTGGTGTCCTGGAGTGAATAGGAAGGCAAACAATTAAAAAGCCAGATGAGCCAGGATCCCTGCCTTTTGCTGCCTGCTTCACTGAAATCTGAGGCGGTGAGGAGTGATAGCTAGAGCAGTTCTTGCCATGGTGCCTCCTTCCCCAAGTGGGACAAAATAAACCTTTACTCCCACGAGTTGATTTTTGCCAGCTATTTGGTTATGAGATAAAAACAAAATGGAAACCTAAGTAATCCAATGAGAATATGTGGATTTACTTGTTGACACCATATTGTAATAGTCATTCCCTGTGCAGATGCAATGCATAATACAATAAGCACTGCTAGACATCATACTAGGAGCAATGAAGAATTTCGCAGAAAGCATGGCACACAGAGGGCACAGCACACAGCAATGGTGCTGTCTGAGACAGCAAGTTGGCCCCTTTGTGTCTCGGTTTCTGGTGTCAGGAAGACTTCATCCTAATTCCCTATAGTCTTACCTATCCCTCTCAATGGCCCTGATGGGAGCACTAAAGTGTTCCACAGATAGGACTGTGCCCTTTGAGCTTTAGAGACATGGTCCAACATGCCATGGTATGCTGCCACTCAGGAGATGGCACAGATGTGAGAACTGCCCAAAGATAGACCTTCCAAAGGAAATAGTACAAGAACATGACCCCTGGATCATGCTATCAACAACAAAACAGCCCCAGATGCCTTTGCCATAGAACCTCTATGTTCACAAGCTATATCCATCCTCATTTATACTTTATCTGCTGCCTTTTGCCATATGTAACACCTAATGCAGAGCAACTCTTCAATCAATGTCCCAGAAGGATCCCTTGGAGAACAGTGCCCAAGCCCTACCCTTCATGCTGGGCCCACCCAGAGAGCACCAATTCAATGCCTCTAGTTGAGCCCTTCTTCACATGACCCCTTATGTGCCCAAGGCAACGTGGAGCAAGACCAGAGTTATGTCTGTCCATCTGGTTCCTATCATGTGACTGCCACCATTCTGGAGGCCAGGTGAATTTCCAAGGGATCTCAGATAGAAAAGGCAGAACTGCTGAGGGAGTGGTTTTCAACCTGTGTGTCACCACCCCTTTGGGAATCAAATGGCCTTTCACAGGGGTTATCTAAGACCACCAAAAAACAAGATATTTACATTACAATTCATAACAGTAGCAAAATTACACTTATGAAGTAGCACCAAAAATAATTTTATGGTTGGGGGTCACCACAACATGAGGAACTATATTAAAGGGTCACAGCATCAGGAAGGTTGAGAACCATTGTGCTAAAGCCTAATGGGTAGAAAGCCTTGTGAGCTGGCCAACACAGCTACAGGAAGGCTGTATCTCTTAAAAAGTTGTCAGAACTGGCCCTTTAGGCTCTGGAACCAAATGTCCTGCCTACGTCCCATCCTTTGGCCCCATTTAAGTGTTGCACTGGGAAAGCAGTAATGGACTTCACTGTTCTCAGGGCGAATAGCGAGTGCCAGTTCCATTTGTCAGTATTACCTCAGGGTGAAGGAAGCCAGTCTGCATGCCCACCCAGCTCAGGCAGGCAGACACGACACACCATGGTTGCCTCCCTCACAGGAGCACATACCACTGGCCTAGCTCCCATGTCTCATAAGCTTCATTATCTGTTATGTTGCCAGTCTTGGTGAGAAGCTACTCCACAGACAGTTTGTCACATGTTTAAAGATATTTACAAGCTGAATTTGGAGACTCACATTTGTAATTCAATGCTCAGAAGGCAAGGCAAGAGGATAGTCATGAGTTCAAGTCTGTCTGGGTTACTTAATGAGAGCCCGACTAGCCTGGGTTACATTGTGTCAAGAAAACAAAAATACAAAATAAAATAAATAAAAAATAGAACAATTCCCTTTGCTCGGCTCCTTGAGGAGATGAAAGAGGAAATGAAATGTCATTGGCTATTGGTTTCCTGACAGATGAGTGCCAAGCTGTGCAGGAAAAATGGGGTATACAGTAACCGTGAAGAAAGGAGATGGTGTCTGAGTGAGGACTGGACACAAAGCCCTGACCTGAGCTGCTAGGAAAGGTCCCCAGGGCCAGCACCACCATTACTAGAAAATTCCATCTGCATTCAGTTCCACATCTGAACACAGACAGACAAACAGATCCAGCAGACAGATGAGTAGATCTGCACGATTTCCCAGATGGCCAGAAGCCATTTGTCCAAACCAGCAATCTGAGGCAGGTATCCAAGAATACAGAGTGGCTTGTGGCATTGCCTGTAGTGAGATAGTTCTGTGGCACTGACCACGCCCATTGGGGGGGTGGAGCCACGGGCGGAGTGACCTGTGGAAGGAGGTCGGAGGGGGCCAGGAAAGGAGCTCTCTTTCTGGCATGACTCGGACAGGAGAGGATCGGGTTAAATTTCCTGGTGTTCATCTGTCTAGGTTGTAAGTTATTTCTCCCTGAATAAACATCTATTCGGCCTATTTGTTTATCCTGATCCTTATTTACCGCAATAATTGCCCATCACTACACCATCAATACCCCACTACACACGCTCAAAGGAAGAAACACATGTCCCCAGCATATTTTGGTGGGACCAGAGCCAGAGGCAAAGAGTTATGCTCTATACCTCCAGGTCCAAGTTCATGGACCACCTCAAACACTGACTCCTTAACTTTTTCCCCCCTCCAGTGGAAGGTGAACTCTGTGAGATCAGTTTCCTGTTCTATTTAATAGGAATAATCTCAGCATATAAACTAAGACTGGAGTGTGTGTGTGTGTGTGTGTTTGCAGGTTTCTCTCCCTTAGAGGGCAGTTGGTTAGTATGTACCTCCACACACATTCATTTCATCTGTGAACCACAGCAATTCGCACCTGCTAAGTGGTGAGGAAGGCCCTGCTGTCCACAGCAGCCCAGCCCCATCCTCCACAGACAGCTGAAGGACAAACATGCCTCAACAAGAGCACTTCCACCTTCCTGCGGATCTGGTTTTACTGGATGGCTTCCAAGCTAGTCTGGACAACAGCACACAGCTGAATGACAGGGCATGCTTATGGGTGCTGATTTCCTTTACTATGCAAGTATGTGCTGAGAGCTCGGAAACTAAAGTGTGTGTGATTAACAGCAGATCTAGTGTCCAGTACTACTCCCAGGCCTTAATGAACAGTAGCTGTTAAAATTATAATATGTATTTGTGTGTGTATGTGATTTGTATTGTTCCAGGTGAGGCTCTCTTAATGAATGTATGCCTTAGAATGGACCCATCCACACAGTAAGCTACTCTGCTTCCAGCTCCCAAAGCAGGCCATTGCAAAACTTTTTTTTTTTTTTTTTTTTTTTTTTTGAGAAAAGGTCTGTCCATATAACAAAGACTAGACTTAAACTCATAATCCTATTTCAGTTACTCAAATATTAGAGTTATAACTGCACACCATTCCAGATTCATAAAAACAAAAACAAAAAAAACTTCATGTTTAATGGGTCTTTTCCTACCATGTATTTCAATCTGCAGAAGTGAAATGTTCTTAAGAAATATTAAATCACAGTAAAGTCTACAAAGTGTATGTTAGATCATGGGTGGAGGTACATACCTGCAGGAGAGGGTTTTATAACCTCTGGAAGCTGAGGCAGAAACTCTCCCGCCACATAATGAACATTCCAATTGGGTATGTGGAATATCCTGTCACACAGACAGA